TGCCAGATTGATTTCCAAAGTAGATTTCCATGACCTAGTAATTTCTAAAACTCTGCAACTTGAAGATATTAGTAAATTTTGTCCATATATAAAGTATCAATTTGAAAATGGCTAAAAATGTTTCTCCAAGCTATATTTAAAGTGACTATATGTCCAAAACTTTCAGGTAGGTCCCATTGGGCTTGGTTGTAATGGTGCTAGCCTTCTGTAAAAAGAGAAACCAAGTGAGTGCCTAACTCAGAGCCATGTACTTAACCATATAAAACATTCAAAAGTCACAGTATATAGATGGCAGGGTCTTAGATCCTCAGTACTCAAGAATTCCTTCTATAGTTTAAGAATCAAAGAGATTCAAAAGACATACCAGCAATCTTCTTTCAGCTAACTAAATAAAACGTTGCAACTCGCCAAGCCCTATTCTATACACCAGACAATATTAAAAAAAAAAAAAAGTATAAACCCTGCCCAATCAGCTCTGTGACTTTCAGGACCCCAAGCTAGAAGCAAATGGAAGCCATTTATTCAATCACTCTCTTTTTCTCTTTATTTTTAATCCTCTTATGTGTTTGTGTGTGTGTGTTAGTTCCCATTCAACCTAATTGCAACTTAGCTGAAGAGATCCATGACTATAGTCACAGATATCTATTTAGAAATCTACATAATCTATATTATACACATACATCATAGGGTAACAAACCCATATTCCAGAAATTCTTAATTGGCTTCAACCCAACAAATGTAACACAGGATGTTTCTCTTAGCTTAACTGCATCCATCCTGAAGCCATCATCCAAATAGAAGACTGTGACAGGAGGTGGAGAAGTCACCATGACCCTGAGAGGGAGGAGGACAGACATATATACTGACATGGATAGCCGTGCCTGCAGGCGGCTCTGCAGTGTTTGCTTCATTGATGCAGACCTGTGGCTCTGAGCATTGCAGGGCAGGAGAGCAGCTTTGCTACCTCTTAGATGTGTGATCCACAAGACACAATATTAGCTACCATGAGCAAATAACGTCATTCCAGATAGAAGCACATTTTAAAACTAATTATTTGAGGATGAAAAAATCAATTACTATTTTTAAAGTCTCTGATGTGTTGAGATAAAGCATCAGCATGTCAACCTTAAACATCAGTGAATTTAAAGGAACTAAGAAAAGGTACTAACACTCACAGTGACAAGAATTTTCAGTGGAGGGAGGAGAGGTTCAAAGAAAAATCACTGGGTGGCTGTCCAGGAGAAAGTGCTTGCCCTGCATGCCTGACCACCTGACTTCAGGCCCCCTCACCTCATGATGGATGAAAGAACCTACTGCCAAGAGCTCTGCTCTTACTTCGGTTAGTGCACCCTGGCATGTATGCACACCACGCTCTCACTCACCCACACCATCTTAAAAGAAGACAACCTATTCACTTCACACAAAGAACACAGCAAGAACTTCATCTTTCACGGCCCAGCTGTGCGTAATTCTGAGCCACAGGTTTATCAGGTCAACTGCTGTTCCTGAATGATACAATAAGACAAACTGGTCTTTTATCATATGATTGAAAGCATTTTAAAGCAACCCCAAAAGCCAAAACCACTCTACAGAGTTCTGCTTTAAAGTTTTGCATAGTGTTAGAATGTCAGGCTTTGCCACATCAAGTTGACTACCATTCAATAGCTGGCTAAAACCTACCAGGTGAAAATGGTTACATCCTTGCGGTGCTACGTGCTCCACAGAGGTCTTGCATGAAAACCCTGGTTCCAGGAGTGGCTGTCCTGGGACGCGCATTGGAAACTTTCAGACATAAAATCTGGTGGGAGGTCTTTAGATCATTGGAGTTAATGGCGTCAAAGGGGGCTGCTGGGCCCTGGTCTCTTTGCCTTGCTTTGTGAAGTGTGCAGTTTGCAGTGTCTACCCACAACCACCTAAAATGTTTCAAAAGAGGCCCAAGTCAGCTGGGCTGCTGAAGCCTGCACAGAGCCCCCTAACCATAAAACCAAGAAAATGTCTTCTCTCTGCTAATTAATTGTTTCAGTATTTAAATATTTTGTAGTCATGAAAAGCTGACTAACACTTATCTTCCACAAACCCTGCTACAGTGTGTATTTAAGATAGATAAGCACCCATTAAAATTAGTTGTGCACTAATTATCTGATAGCTGATTTTAAATAAATCTCTTAACCATCCTCTAAAAGGAAGAGTATGTACGTGAATAAATCATTATGTTCCCTCCCCAATGAGTAAAATAAAATAAAAGCCTTTTAAAGATCCTCCATCAACAGTTCTTCCATGAATAAAATAAGCAAGAGCAAAGGGCACCCTGACTACCACTTAGGAAATAAGACAGCAACACAGTAAAATCTGTAATTCTAATCACATTTGCTCCTTCTCTCCTTTTTTACATTTCTCATCCAAACATTCTTAGAAGCTCAATAGGCTTAGAGGAATTGGAGCAGTGCAGAGAACAAAGGTGGGGAAATCTGGGAAAAAGCTTAAAAGGCTGTCCACACCATTTTAATAATTTCAAATCGGATAAGACTTTCCAGAAGATATAAAAATCAGAAGTGTAGAAAGGAACGGCACAAAGTTATTCTATCACCTTTACATTACATACATAGCGCTTCAGCTCTTGACTGATGGAATTTAACCACTGTGGACAAGAAATTAAAAATAAAACTCTAAGAAACACAAATACTAAACTAAATGTATTCTTTTAACCAAAGACAGGCTATGTATTAAATAAGCTCATAAATGTGTAAAAAAAAAAAAAGCCACTATTTGTATTCTTGTGTGGAAATGAATGTTTACATGTTAAGGATACACTGGCCTGAGACAGGCATACTTTGAGGAAACTAGGTAGCCACTCACTGATTTAATCATGTTAACCATTGTAAAATATAACTATACATTAAACAAATATAAAGGAATAAAGAAAATATTTATTAAGCGTTAGGTCTATGTGACTTATGCAAATTGAGAATGGGATTTCATTAGCAGGAAAAACAGATAAGTCAATGCCGAAATATTTTAATGTTTTACTGAGTTATTTAAATGAGTGGATAACACAAGCAAATTTCAATATTATACCAAATTTTTATATGAATGCTATAACTGGGTTAGTCTAGATCAACGTCATGCTTTCCCATGAGTTTGTCTGAACAGCCGAGGGGTTTTCTTCTTTCAGGAGCACCACTGATGCCTCCAAGAGTGTGACTGGCCGAGCTGCTTTAGCTGCTCTGATTTGTCCATTACCTTAAGCTACAGATAAGAAAGGTGCAATAGGAAAGCAGCCCAGAATGACTTTAAGAAGAAGATGTGTACCCTCCTGGCACCGAAGTTGTGCCGTCTATATCAACTACAAACAATGACAACTATTTGTTGTTCTGTAGGGCAGAGCTTCAGTGTTCCCTTAGATCATGGTAAAAGGCTATCTCAGTGCTCAATGCTCCAGAACGTTCCTCTTCAAACATGGCATATACAAGGTTTAGAAATAAAACTCAACACCTGTCTAGGGCGTGTTGTCTTCAGGTGGCACCAGAAACACTGAGATGTGAGGAGGTGTTGGAATCAAAGTCTCATGAGGAGCTGTCAATTACAGCCGAAGCTATGGCATTCAGAGGACAAGATCTCATAATGCATATGAGGGTTTCACAGCTCAATACGCACCGCACACAAACCAATTGGTTTGTGAGCAGCTAAGTGAGGAGTATTTCTTAATGAAAGAATACACTAACATAATTATGTACTTAGAAGGCTTTTGGTTTGTGTGAGTTTGTGTATGTTATTTTATTTTTGAGGAGACAAGAATTGCCCTAAGCTGGAAGTATCAACTATGTGTGTAAATTTGTGAATTGTCTAGTGCGCTGAATAAGTATTCGAATAAACATTGGTGTATTTAAAAGTAGGCGTTGGCTGATGGGCTTCGCGTGCCCAGACACGGAGGAAGGATGTTGAGAACTGAGTTAACTAGCAATCAAGCAAATGTGCTACCACTGGGGAGTGCTAAAGGCAAGCCTCCTTGCATAGGAAAAGGGATGTATTTTGTACTCAGACATCCTTTTGCAAATTCCTTGTTCATCCAACGACCTCCTCAAATCCATCCCTCTCTGTTGACTTCAGCAACAGCTAGTGGCACTCCTCTGTGATTGAGCCGCAGACACTTACTGCGTGGGCCCACTAACACCTTCTCTTGCGGATAGAACGTGTGCTAGATCTCCCACGAGCAGCTAAGAATGAGTGCTAGGATAGCGCCCAGCGGATGAAGGCAAGCGAGGGCGCTTACGGGAACGTGATCTCCACCTGCCGCATTAATTGTATCTTTCCCTGTGCGCCTGCGGTTTACTTCATCCGTGCTCAGTGTGCCCAAAATGCAGGGTTTGGTCGCCTGTTGCCCTATCGCTTTTCAGGCTTGAAACTACTTTGTGGGTCTGTGAGACACACTGAGCGGCTTGGATGTCTGCAGGACTGCTTGGTGCCAGGGTGCGGAGGGGCAATTAAAGGTCATGTCTGAGTGCACTGGGTCGGGTGCTCATTACAGAAAACACCGGCTGCGCCTGTGCAGCAAAGGAACATAAAAGGGTTTTATGTTTTCACCATCAAACTTGTGGCAACCAGCACAGTTCCTTTGAGGTTGTGAGGAAAGAGCGAAACCAGGGCCCCTGGTGACATTCTCTCTGGGAACAGGTCCACGGGCTTGCCACGCGGTCAACAAACCTCTCCTTTAGTAGTCCTTCACACACTTACTGGACCCTAAGGGAGCACCGGCAGGAAGCAAATGCTCCGCGCTCCGAGGAACCCCAGATACAGTTAAGGAGCCCTGAAGCTGCCCTCCTCCGGCGAGCACGCCAGGCAGGCCCTCCGGCCTTATCCCAATTCCCCTAGTGGAGGGGGAGGACCCGAAAGGTCATCTTCTCACCAAGGACCACCTCTGGGTGCCAGGAAGAGCGCGGTCGCAAGCCCAGAAGTCCCCGGCCGGGCCCCCGCACACTGCCCGGCCAACCAGCGGCTCCTACCTGCCCGCGGCGCATCCGGCAGCCCCTTGACAGCTCCCCCAAGCCGCCACTGGAAAAGTTTCCGAACTTCTTCGCAGCTCTCCACGCCCTCACTCCGGGTAGATCCGAGGAGAGCCAGGAGGAGGAGACAGCGCCAGCCCAGGCGCCAGGTGCCGGCGTCCATCCTCGTCGCTCGGGTCGCGCCTCTCCCGCGGTGCTCCCCACCCTCCCGGGCGCCCTGCGCCGGCGGCGCCGGAGGAAGACCCGGGGCCGGGGCTGGCGGGGGTTCGACGCGCAGACGGCCTCCGGAAGACCGAGAACGCACCGCGGCTTCACGCGCAAAAGCCCCGCTTTCTCCTCTGACGCCCCGAGGCTGAGACGCTGGACTTCTCCTGCTCAGCATCCCAGGGGTCCGCCCCGCGGGGCGGGTCGGCGCTGTGCGAGCGGAACCCGAGCCCTGAAGAAGCGGAGGGCCGGCGAGCACCCGGCCCCGGCCACTGGCGCCGCGGCGGCCGTGGGCTCCGCTCGCTGCCGCTAACCTGGGGTGAGTCCGCGGCGAGCTCCGCTGAGCCCCGCTCGCCCGCCCCGCTCGCAGGCCACGCCCCTAGCCACGCCCCCGGCAGGCCGCGGGCTCCGCCCCAGCCCAGATCTGCGGAGCCCAGCAATGGCCGGGGCAGGAGACCTCAGAGAACCACTTTAATGCAAGGAACCTCGTCTTCATCCTCCCGGTTCATTTCGGAAAACACTGACGTGCTGAAACGAAAGCGTGTATACAGAGGATCAGAGAAAGCAGGAGATGAGAAACATGGAGTAGAAATAAGAGGAACTATTTCTCTACAAAGCAAGGTCCTCTATGCATAGGAATTTGTACTTAAATTTCATAAAATAAACCTCGGCACAATTCCCAAGGCAAACGCTGATTTTTGAGAGACCTAGTAACACGTTAGGTTTCAAAGCAGCCTGAAGAAGTTTTTTTATATGCATTATTATACTTTTAAATTAAAAAAATAAAACCTGTATGCTTTTAGTATTTTTTCTGTAACATTAACTATGATTTTTCTGAAAGAATTTAGAACTCAGAGTCTCACTGGGAAGCTATCACATTCTTTATATGATGAAGTCCTCCTTATTCTCTTTACCATCATAAGACAAAAGTGCTCAAGGGAGTTTCTCCCCAAGAAAATTGGAACAACACACATACTAGGCAATTATAAGCCGACAAGAAAGTTTGTCAAGTTAGAGTTTGCAAAATGAATGCACATGAAACCATGAGCCAAAAGGAAAAGCGCTGTTAAGCCTGGGTGAGTTTCAGGAGCAGTCCTGCGCGCAGCCACCTGGAGGGAGCGCTTCCCCTGCACAAAGCAGCCGTTTAAAAGCATTGGGCAGGACTCTAAATTCTTAACCACTTTAAGAGAATTTCATCTCAAGCTGAACCCTTGCCAAGACTTGTGATGAATAATTTTCAGTCTTAGCTAAGTGTCGTGCGGTTTTTCTAATGACCATTTGATATCACAAGCAGCACTTTCAGAAAGAGATGACTTGCTATGGCTGGGACACTGGTTCGGAGTGAAATACTACCAACTTGGCTTTTGACATCCATTCCCTGAATGTTACAATTTTTTTTTCTTAGAAGCTTTCTTGATAAATGAGAATAGAAAACACAGCTGCTTTAAATTCTAGGCCTCCGAGCAATGCTTTAATATGTATCCTGGAAAAAAAAATCTTCATGAATCTCTTCTGCTCTGATGCCCCATCACTTGGACATCAGCTCTACCTGTATGAAGAAACAAGACCAGCCATGATCAGCTATAAAATTCTTACATGATAAATAAAATTCTACGTATGGATTCTCGTTCACTCACTCTTTATAATGGCCCTGTAAAGCTGTTACTACCATAGCGTTTACGAATAAGTAGAGAGGGTAGATACGTAAGATGGTTTGCCTAAGACCATTGACAGATGGGAAAACGAGTCAAATTGGGGTATCAGAATCCAAGACATTTCCTTAGCCATTGCATGCTTCGCCTGAAGATCTACCCATTTCTGTAGAGTAAGACTGAGGACTATATATTAATCCATCAGACTTTTTAAAATTAGGAATATATGTGTATTTTCTATCCCCCCATATGCTAATGTTACTTGAAAGTATCTCCCAAAGTTTCTTGTTTCCACCAGAATTTCTCCATATCAGAGCCAGTCCTCATAGACCATTAGAATTAAAAGGAGTCAAGCTGTCTAGCCTGAGCCCTTCAACTGCAGTCAGTAAAACACTTTCTCCAAAGAAGAAAATCACAAATACAACCGAGACATGTGATAATTTGAGGAGCAAATATTGATTGGACAATATGATTGTAAAAAGTTCCACTAGGCTTAACTAGGCTTAACGAAACCGACAAGCAAATTCTCAGTAGTTTTGTACTTTTTTCAACAAAACAGGTGGGAAAGCATGCAGGAAACTGAATAGGGTCTAAGGAGAAAATAAGTATTCTACACCTATGTAAATGGTACACATTCATAAATAAAAGACACATACCCTTGCCCCCTCCTGTTGCCACAGTGAATGAGCTAACAAGTGTTTTGGAAGGCTGCTTTTCTACTCAGTATTCTTATGCCACCTAAAAAAGTAGCTCAATTTCTATTCTGAGAACATTGAAGACAATTTACTATCTTCCAACCAGATTACAACCCCACCGTGCCTTTTAGATAGACATTTCTAGAGCAATCTATATACACTGTACGATAACTGGTCTTTGGCTCAATTTACTCATAGATAGTACAAATAAAACGGGAGAATTTCAATACTTTGATATTTATAATGCCTCATTTTTTGAAAGCTATTCAATCAGCACTTATTGAATGTCTTTTGTATAATAGGCCTAGTGCTTTGCTTTCAAATATCAATACCCTTAGATAGGAAAATCTTTAAAGAGCCATCATTTAAAATACATTTTAATAATCTTCTAAATGTGAGCCATCCTTAATACTTCTCAGTAACCATTTGTGGTTTGTCACCACAAGATCATGTAAAGATAAAGAATTGTCAACATGGTGTGAGAGTAGTGTGTATTGCTGTAATGATCACAGAGTCGTCACCCTGAGCACTTCTTTAGGCCCAAATGAACTACTTGGTACTGGTTAATTTTAACTGTTAATATGAGATGCTCAGAAATGCCCAGACCAGACTGGCCTGAAGTGTTTGTATGTGAGGGCTTGTCTTGACTCTTAGTTGACCCAGTAAAGTGGGCAGCACTGTTCCCTAGGCAGGAGACCCGTACTAGAAGAGCAGAGGATGCTAGCTGAGTACTGAGCCACAAACAAGCAAGGGTCCATGTGCTGTATTCTCTCTACTCTTGACTGTGAGTGTGGTGCTTAAGTTCCTGCTTTACTTTCCTGCTATAATGGATTAGAACCAGGAATCGTAAGCCAAATAAACCCTTTTGTCCGACATTTTATTACAACAGCATAAATAAAACTGAAGCATGCTCAAAAGTTTTGGGGGGTAACCTCTATACCCAGTAAATAAGAAAAGCTAACGTTGATATGGTAACAATATTGTTAACATAGTAACAATAATAACTGTAATGGGTTATAGTTATCTCTGTAACAAGCATTTCAACCATCCATGACAGTTGTTATGACTTTACTAACCAAAAATGAGAGAGATTAAGAGAGAGAGAGAGAGAGAGAGAGAGAGAGAGAAGGGAAGAAAGGAAGAAAGAAGGAAAGGAAAAAGAAAGGTGTAAAATTATGAAGAATTTTTCTACAAGACATAAAAATGAATAAAGTCCAAATATGAGCCAAACCAGTCAGTATAGCATCTATATGCCTTAACAACAGCACTCCTCTGTTGCTACTGAGCTAGACAGTGAACTTGCAGTTCCCAGATTTCACCCCATACATGAACAGAAGCCTGCTGCTTGTTGGTGTCTATGAAAAGCCAGCTGTGCCTTTCTCCAATGCCGTCTGTGAGTCCTGCAGCATGTCTAGCTGTGATCCAACAGCACCTCCAGTCCTTAGAGATGGTCACAGCACAGCATGCCCCTATCGCCTATCTCATTAACCTCCCAGTGATGAGAACTATGACCACATTCTTGTCATGTTAAAGTCATACAAAGTCCCCAAAGCCTAGCACGAGTTCTCATACTACTGCCAGATGTGCCTCCTCAGCCAGTAAAAAAAGGATGCCTGTTAACTGATCCCTTATCAGTTGAACCAATTCTATCCCATCTTGTCTCCAAGCTTCTGACTTCACCTCTCCACCAGGGGGTTATTGAAGCAAAACCACGTTAGAACAGAAATGAATACAGTACAATTTTTTTTTATTTCATTTGTACATTTGGCAACAATTGTTATAAAACCTATTTTTTAGATTTTTAGGCAGTGGAATTCACACCTGAGATACAATATCATAATTAATTTCAAGTTTTCTAATAATTTCATGAAAAAATGAATTAACAAATAATTTAAACGTTTTTCTTAAATGGAATGCTTTCCAGAAATTATTTAGAAGAGTGTATACTGTTTGGGCTGATCATGAAATGTAAGAAGGGAAGGCCTGTAAGAGTTCATCTCCCAGACTTCAAAGCCTAGAAGATCCAATGACCCTGTTCTAGCCACCTCTATCCTTTGAGCAAGGACTGGGGAGAATTACTGAATCAATTTAGTCCCTACAGGTCAAATTCCTGTATATCTTATATCTTTGAGGGGATTTGGGGATTTTTATTGGCACTTATTGGAGTTTTTATTACTTAAGTAGCAGTCCACCTTTTACATGTAACTTAATCTTCAGATTTTTAAAATGAGGGGGAAATCACCGTCTCATGATGTAGTTTCAAAACACACCTTAAAAAAACAGGTTGTCACTTTTCAGCGGACAGCATTCCTGGGTCACCGCGTCATCCAGTGCTTAACTTTCACTGATTTTCTCTTTTTCACTTCTTTTCATTTATATTTAGAGAAAAACTATAAGTTAGGCATTTTAAAACATTAATAGCACTGCTAAATTAAGTGTAAGAGAATCATTTTGTTTTCTCACATTAGACATTATAATAGCTCAGATATTAATATATCCCGGTAAAATTAATGTTAGCACTAGGTATAAAATATACTCCAGAGTGACCGCTCATTATCCGCACACTCTGATACCTGTTTTCATGACTTCGAGCTATGAGGCAGAGATACAATGGCTATGTGGTCATGTAACTCATGGGGTTAACTAAGGTAACATATGTGTGATGCTTATTAAACTCCTGGTCGACAGGCTCACTCAGTAAGTAGTCATTATTCTTCCCCACTGGAAACATATCTCAAACTAACCCAGGCTTATAAGTTAACATCCTAAATATAACTAAGATAATAAACTTTCTTCTCCTAATGACAGAGGCAGGCAGATCTCTCTAAGAAAATAATAATAAACTATTTTAAAAGAACTATAATTTTGCTCCATTTAGCATGTATGCAGATGTCAAATAAATTGTTTTGAATAACAAAAAAAGTAAGCAT